GGAAATGCTCCTCGTGGGTCTGTGCGTTGTATTTATAGACGATGAAGAGAAAGGTCAGGGCGGGAGAGCAGGTGCTTGTCAGGCGCCAGCTCTTCCCAGGCTTCTTTATTATTCATCTCGACATCGAGTCCCGAGTCCCGCGTTCCCTTGTCTTCCCAGGGCAGCTCGGATTTAATCCTTTTCTTCCCGTACCCTAAGGCCAGCATGTCACCCCCTTTCTCCTCAAGGGGGAAGCTCATCTTCCTCTCCAGAGCTCTTGTATCCCAGCCCAGCTGTGTCCACTAAACTACTCCAGGGGTGGACTAAGTCCTCACGTTACAAACAGTATTTTCTTTTTCATATTTATTCTGCATTGACTCAAATAAGTGCGAGTGTTTCGGGTATTAAGATAGACTTCTCTGACTCAACCTTCCAACTGATGCATTTGGAAAGCTCCTCCGAATGAAGCAATCTCGGAAGCAACCCCAAGTTTTGTGACAGTAGCACACGACATCCAAATTTTAGAAGCTTCAAGCACCTCAGGATTAGTTCCCACTCACAGAGCCATTCCGGTTGGTGGGGACCATGTTCCATTTCTCTGCACCTGCAGCGTCAGGCTGACGTAGTCCCCATGACCGAGAACTTAATTGGTCGCTTTGGCTGATGGGAAGGAATGTGAGGGCTCACACATTCGTTCTTACCACAGCCACGCGGACGGAGAGCCTTCGCTTTGGCTCATCCGTGACCCATGCTAGTTTAGCTTCTGTTGTGTGCTCCTAGACACATCACCTCTAAATTGCATGAGGTGAGTCATTACAGTGTTACCGTGTGTCCCGAAAGGAGAGAACCAAAGATACTTGGGGTGGTCATTAGTCCTATTCCGCAATTACTTTATCTCCTTATAGTTCTTGTCAGGCAAAGGAGAAATGAATTTCGATATCGGCATTGGGATGGGGAGGCAGAGGCAGAGTTTTCACCTGTCCATTGTTTTCCAATGTCTGATAAAAGCGCCTCACAGTAAAGGTGGTCAGTGGCATTGGAGCCGACGGGAGGCCCCTTCTGGGGGGAGCGCTCAATCCGACCTCACCTGCCTGCTCCTGGCTGCAGCAGAAAAGCATCCCACACCCCAAGCTTCTGGAACCTCGCATAGTTCAGTGTTTTGCCAAATAGTGCCACTGTGTGTAGAAGCCCGAATAATCTCCTGTGTCTATTTTGGTTTCCATTCAAAGACCTGCAGGACCAATCTCATCAGGACATATTTGTTTCCCTAATTCACCCTCAGAAGTGACCGTAAGAGTCTGTCCCACGCAATCGATCACCGTGGAGACATTTATCGCCTCTCTGCTGGGACTCCACCCCTCCCCCTCCGCAGTGTCCTCTGCAGTTCACTGTTCCTACTCCCTGCCGGATCAGTCTCCCACTCCTTCCAGTAAATTCTCACTTTCCCTCTGTTTCGTGTAGCTGCTTCATATTCATTTTCTTCTCAGATTTCATCTCTCACATTTCATAAAAAAATAGATGAAATCAGACAAGACTCTGCCTCACCTTGTCATTGCTTCATCTAGTCAGCACTCTCATGCCTGCCTCCCCTGCAGCTGCGTCTCCCCCATCACTGCCCTTAAAATGACCTTGAGTGTCCCACATCCATCCGATGCCAAGCAGCTCAGCTCCTTGTTCTTCCTCAAGAGCATTTACTCTCCCGCATGGTCAACGTCCCTCTCTCCAACAGCTCCTTCCTGCAGGCGTGTTTCTATCCCCGGTGGGGCGGGGAGACCCCTCTCACCTCTCCTTGGCTTCATCCTAGCTGTTTGCTCCGTTTTCTTCCTTTCACAGAAAACCCATTTGAAAGAAATTTTTGTAATTGAAACTGCATGCCACTCTCTGCTCAACTCACTTCAACCACGCTTTTACTTTCATCATGGCCCCGCAGATGATTTTTACCAAGAACCGTGGTAATAATGGTAACCAGAGCTCATCTACAGCGCCCGCTCTGCATAGCGACTCCCTGCACCTGCAGGCCGACCCGACCCTGTGGACTGGGTGCTCGCAGCCGCCGTCTCTGGGATGTGCAAAAACTGGTACCAGACGGTTGAGTTAATTTGCTGTTGAGAGGAGCTTAGATTCAAACCGAGCTCCTCGGTTCTGGGGCCTGTGCTCTCAATGACATCGTGTTACTTCATCAATGGACAATGATGTCCCTCTATTTATTGAAAGTTTTACGAGCATTTGCCCCAGCTGCTCCTCTTGCCCTTTGATTCAGCGCTTCCTCGCATGTTCTTTTTCCTTCCGTCCTCGTCCGTCTTCTTTGTGAAGTCCTTATTCCAGACCCAGGCATTGAACTGTTCTTTGTCTTCTCTATCGGTAACCCTCCATAGTAAGTTGGTGGCTTGAGATCCCCCCTGCCAGCTCAGCTCTCCTGAGCATCTCTCTGCAGCCAGAGTTTCCTCCCCAGGCTCCGATTCATCCCGGCTGTCTCCTGCTTCACAGCCCCACCCGGTGTCGTGTAAGGGTCTGAGACTTAACATGACACAACAGGTGTCTGAACCCAATCAGTATTTGGCAAATTCCTCTTCCCCCAAATTTTTATCCATAAGGAACACCCGTTTATAATTGCTCTGGGTAAGCTGTGAAATCACCCTTAATTCCTCTTCCCTCGCCGCTCATTCAGCTCTCGAGCAAATCAAACCACGTCTGCAATAAATACCCATATTTCCCCCTCTCTGCGGCTGCCTGTTCTACCATCTAGACGCCTTCCTAACGGGGCTCCCTATTTCATCCTGGCTCCCTTTGTTATCTCGAAGGGGTGCGTATACTTCTAAAGGACAAATAGGATGCTCGCACTTCTGCCCTTTGCGTGGAATAAAACCTAACTAACAAGAATAAAACCTAACTTCCTCACTCCGGGATACCAGCCCCTACGGTGGGACACGTTGCCCTCAGCCTCTCAATGGTTCCATCAGGCCAGTCCCCTCGTGTTCTGGGGAGAACATCACGCCTGCCTTCCTGACCCTTGTGTTTTGTCGCTCCTCTTTGGATTGCTCTCCACTCTGAGAGTCTCATGATGGACATTTCATCGCTCCAGTTATCAGCCCATAGAGGTCGTCCCAGACTCAGAAAAATATACATCCCCTCTGGCATAATTATTTGTAACCACATTATTGCATTTCCTTCTAGAAACTTAAAAATCTGATATTGTCTTATTGATGGTTAAATAAGTATTTACAACTTATTTAATTTTATTTTTTATTGCGGGAACATTGCTTTATAACATTGCATAAGTAATTCATAGATTTTATTTTCTCCAGAACAATGTCAGATTCCATGTCCCCCTAGTTCGCTCCGGCACCCCCATGCTCAGAACCAGGCTTGAGGTGGTAGCGACACAGTAAAAATGTGACTAGGTCAAGTACTGAGTAGAAAGCAGTACCCTGACTCGTGTAACACAAAGCATTCAATAAAATAATAACGGAATCATCTTTAGATAAGAACTTTTCTAAAGCACAAAGGATGGGAAAAGAAACTTGTTCTCAAGGCTTAAGCTTTAATAGATATGTGTTTGAATCACACATTGGATCTGAGAAATCCCCATTTATCTCGACAGTGGCAGAAAAATCTTTGTGGCATTGGAAACGGGATCTGCTTCTTGAGAGGTCTTTCAAGGATGACATGGCAAAGCTGCATGCCACATTTTTTTTTCTTCGTCTCAAGTGTAGGGGCGGGGTGGCCGGTTTGTGTGATTTGCTCTCATAAGGAAGTCCGCACAGTCTTCTAAACTGAGTTACTGCATAGTTGTTCATCTCCAAGGCGAAGGTTAATATAAATGCACGGGTCTCAGTATGTTTATAACATTAAATTTCAGATCTCCTACTTTTTCTATTTACATTTGTGTTATATAATATCTTGAAAATTTCTAAAAGTATAGTATTCCTAAAAATATCTGATTTTTTTTTTAGCCTAAGAGATTTTTACTTTATCATTTCAAGATCAGGTTCTTTTTTTTTTTTTTTTTAATTTATACAAGAGCTGGGGTACAGGCCAGAGTCGTGGGAGAGTGAGAGGATTCACCAGAGACAGAGTGGGGAGCAGAACAGGCAGACAGACCGAGAACACTGCTGAGGGGAGCAGCAGGTGAGACAGGAGAGGTCTGCTGCGCCATGTGGGTATCTCCTTGGCCAGCTGGGAATCGAACTGGTGCTGTGGAGGCTGTGGACAGCTTCACAGTGCTGTGCTCAACACGCTGTGCCACCAGGGAGGCCCAGGCCATATTTTGAAGAGAAAATGCTGAAAGCAAATGAATCCAAACAAGAGCCTCCCCATAATGCATCTCATAAAGTGAGATACAAACATTTCAGTCATCTGTGAAGCTCAGTGGCCTTATGCAGAGTGACAAACGGGCCTCACAGCTTATAGGGCTGAGTCTCTGGACTAGCTCTGTGCTGACTGCGGCTGGGTCTGGTGGCACTGTCCTGCAGGCAAAATGGAATGAGTTTTGGGCCTTGCAATTGCCTGGTTCTTTCTGGGAAATGGTGGCAATTTCAGGAATCACCCAATTAGTTCCTTTCCAGGCCAACTGGGCAGACCACTACCGAGGAGGTGGGTGCCGGCCCGGCCTTATCCTCACCCCCAGAGGAGCATAAGCTTTGCCAGCCCCTCCGCATGGAGGCCAGGACTGGTCTCTGCCCCTGGGTCGCCTTACTTTAGCATGTTAAAATCAGGGGGTCAGAGAGATCAGATGCAAATAAACGTTTTTGATGATGGCACTTAATGCCCCTACAGTTCACCCCGTTCCCACAACTCTCTCTGATCTCCCCACTAATGGTTCCTGCTCCTGCAAGCACTTGCTGACAGCAGCGATCCCACTACCCCAGCAAGAACGTCAGCCTGTGTGATGGCGTCAGGTCGTTGTATTCCTAGCTTCCCGCCCGCGGGCCCTATGGAGCTACCCTTAACGTCCTGGGGATTGCAACGAGGGGGTCCGGCAGCTCTCCGGGTGGCTCACCTCCCGTCTGTCTTGTCCGCAGCGCACCATGTCAGGACGGGCACCTGCGAGGTGGTGGCGCTGCACAGGTGCTGCAACAAGAACAAGATCGAGGAGCGCTCGCAGACGGTCAAGTGCTCCTGCTTCCCGGGCCAGGTGGCTGGCACCACGCGCGCCGCCCCGTCCTGCGTGGATGGTGAGGCTCTTCCGTTGCTCTGCAGGGCTGGGGCAGCTGGGTCTGTCCTGGGGGCCACGCTAGACACCATGCGGGTAGACCGTGGTTATTGGGCACCTGAGAGCCTCTGGAAGGAGCTCTAAGCTCTCAGCAGTTTGGGGACACCAGGAATTATAATGAGGTTCCAGAAAGTTCATGTGCTGCTGACTGGGGCACTGAAATGCTGATTTGCCAGCAGAGCACAGGCAGGTGCATGTGGGGGAAGGGATATGATAAACATCGATGACTGAATAGTTTGGGTTTCTAGACCTCAGGACGGTTCTTAAATGGCACACATGTGCGTGAGTTTAGCTGTGCATAGAATTTATATGAAATATTTTTATGGAGACGCATCAAAATATTTCTTGGAGGGCTCAGCTAATTACAGCAGGATATAAATCTTTATTTGGGCCTATTTAATTGACATTACCATAAATTATAACTGAAATGATTACATTAGCCTGATCCATCCCTTGGGATGAGGGTCACTGCGCGCAGTAAGAGAAAATTCTCTCAGCTCTCCTGGCCCTGCTTTTCAGCCTACTGGGGGGAAACATTACATTTAGTCTAAATACTGATTCTAAGCATTTTTCATGTAAATTGGTACACGTCTCCCTTCACATGAAAAAATCGCTACTGTCCCATAGCAAACACTATTGTATTATCAATTTACACATTTTCTGCGGGTAGCTCTCCGGGCAGGTGGTATTCCCACGATAGAATAAAGTCCTTTTAATCAGAAAAATGGAAAGGTTGAGCCCCTTTTTGTCCGCTTGGACTCAAAGGAAAGCGTGGCTCACACTCCAGTCGGCCAGTCGTGGGGAACACTCGGCGCACCCAGAGAACAGACACGTCCAAAGAGAAAACACTCAGTTGATTTTTCTCTCTTCTGTAGCTTCCATAGTGGAACAAAAGTGGTGGTGCCACATGCAGCCGTGTCTTGAGGGAGAGGAATGCAAAGTCCTTCCCGACCGGAAAGGGTGGAGCTGTTCTTCTGGAAATAAAGTGAAAACGACCCGGGTAAGTGGACGGCGGCTGGAGAGAACAAAGTGTCTGTGACTCACTAGAGCTGGAGCGGGGGGGGGGGGGGGGGACGGAACACCTTCACGTGGTCGCGGTAGAATGAGCGAGAATAGTTCTCCATGGTGCATTTTCCCATCGGCTCCCTGATTTATTTTTTCATCGCAGGTTTTTATTTCACTCCGAATATCATCTTCCAGAGCTGCCATCAGCCGTCATGTTACCTAGTAAATAAACCCCGGTGTGTTTTGTCACGAGATCCTGACAATGTCACGCTCCCCACGGGTGCGCGCAGGTTAAATGCTGGAGCCGTGACCCTAATCCCTTACTCTTCCCATGGGTAGTAACCAAAGTTCTTTTAAAAAAAGGATCTCATTTCATATAGGACTCAGCTTCCAACCAAGATTGTTTGACTTTGTGAAAGCGTTTATTTTAATCTCCCTGATTTCCAGTTCAATAAACGGTTGGCTGTCACCCTGAATGTCAGGGTCAATATGAAAAGGATCCTTTTTAGAAAAAGATGCATTTCAACTTGTGATGACTGACTTCGGGGTGGGGGTGGGGTGGGAGAAATCAAAAAATAATTAGCTTTGATCTTTGATTTCCTAATTAACTCCATAGATATGCTGAATGGACAAAATTTAAATATTTTCCTTATATGGAATCAGCAATGACATGTTTATTTTGCTGTGAGTGGGAAGGAGACAAGTGATTAGTCATGTAATTGGGGCGGGAATGAACTAATAGTATGAGAGAATGTATTTGAAAATAACAAAACGAATCTGGTTCATCTATGGTTTTGTTTGCCCATGTTTTCCTTCTAAATGGCTTAGCAAAATAAGACGTGCAGGTGTGAATGTTCGTTTGGCGTAGGAGGCAGTTCAGGCGGATCTCCTTGAGGCTGCACCGTTGCCAAGGACATCAGGTTGCAGTTCGCCTGTCCCCTGCCCTGACATAGTCCTGACTTAGCTCCGGTGCAGCATTGCGGTGCCCGCAGTGGACGGTGAAGACAGAGGGCGTCTACCATGTATAAATAACAATATTATTCAGAAAAATCTGATGTATTTTTAATCACTGGGATGCACGCCCTCTTGCCAGTTAGCATACGGGAGCCTCGCCTATGGTGAGCCCAGCAGCCACGGACGCCCCAGCCACACAGGGGCACCTCACGGAGGAGAAGCAGGGTCCAGAGGCCCTGTGAGCTGCTCTCAGCCAGAAGCCATGTGTGATTCATGAAACCAGGATCTCTCATAAGAGACGATCACTGCAAGCAAAATGGCTGGGGAAATAATTAAAATGTGCAGCAGCGTATCCTCTCCCTCATAACTGCCCCGTCCACGCGGGCGTGCGCTGGGGAGCCTCAGGCGAGGGAGCGGCACGGTCAGCCCAAGTGAGCCGTGAGCCTGCTGGGCCCCTAGACGTGAGTGGCGCCTGCCAGACCGGACTGTGCATCAGGGGCGGTTGAACAACGCATCCGAGACCAGGCGGGAACTTTCCTTCCGTAAATGTGAATTCCATTTTCTAAGTGCAGGGCTCAGGAAGCTCATTTTTCTGACCCATTTTCTATTCATCCAAGTAAAGGGGAAAGCAAAGACTCAAGAGCCCTCACAGGCGCATCAGTGTTTTGCACACACATGCTGAAAACTCCCAGACACTGCCTCTGGGGAGCAAGGAGGGGGCAACGCGTATCTCCTGACCCCTGTTCCTTCCCTTCCAGGATGTCTGTGACATCCCTCGCCGTCTGCTGGGCGACTTCTTGCCACTCCTGAGTTCAAAAGAAAAGTCATAAGAACCTTTTCATTTGCAACTCACTTTCAAAGATAAAGACTAGGGAACTTTTCAAAGAGTCGTTAATAAAAGAATAATTTTCCTAGTGTGAAAGAGCACATAATTATATGCTAATTAGAAAACAGAACTAGCAGGGGGGAGAGCTTGTAAGATTTGAGGGAAAAATAATCTTTGATATCATTGTTGCGATCCTTCGGAACAACAGACTGGGATTCATTCCTCTTCATGTCTTGATGTCCTTTCTCCGGGGAGCAGCTCCTGGACGAAGGCACATCCTGCTTTCAGGATTGACAACCTGTGGCCACTGATACGCCCCCCAGCTCCAGCGATGCCTCGTCCTTACCTGAGGAGAAGGGAATTGTGTGTGATGGGAGATACCGTCTTTATCAATCGCGAATCTTAGGTGTCTCTGCTTTTCAAAAGCTTCAGAATCTTTGGAGTAATTTTTAACTGATTGGAATTCTTTCATCTTTCATTTACCTCAAGTGCAGAGGCAGGTGACATCTCTAATCTTTTAATGTCGTTTCACATATAAATGGATTTTAATGACCCAAATTATTTTATTTCATTGCATAATGCAATGCAATCAATAGATAGGATAGAATAGGCACAGAAAATTCTTAGTAAGTTCATCTCCCAGTCAACAAAAGCATTTTCCTAGCTCTGCCTTTCTCCCAGGCACTCTGCCGACTGACTGTGTCTTTGCGGGTACTGTTAGCTAATTCCTGCAGCCGCAGGAGGCGCTGAGGAGAATGCATGCTCCCTGGCCAGGCCTCCCCACGAGGGTGGCCGTGAGTGGGGGAATGACTAGTTGCAGCTGCATCCTTCTTTACCCCCGTAAGGTCTACTGACAATAAACACCGGACTCCTTGGTAAGTGGAGGGGAAATACTCTGATAACAACGAGAGGAACACAACCCTTTAGATCAACACCCTCATGTGCAAAAAAAAAAAATTGAGACTGTTGAACTCGATGCAATTTCAAATTCTTCTCACCAAAATTTATTTTTTGGTTCCATGTGCCAAGGGTGTTTCTAACTTGCTTTCTAGCTAACTCTGTATGACACTGAGCACGAATTTAAGAAGCTGGGTGAGGGTCAGGTCTGTAGTCCCGTTCCTGCAAGGGGGAAAAGCAGCAGCCTCTTAGGATGCCTTGTTGATTAGGTAGAGCCTCCAGGTGTGCCTCTCCAGGTGCCGCCAGGCGCTGCGCCTCAGGGACTGCTACGCTGGGGAGTCTGACCAGTGTCTAGTGATGCTATGTCAGGCCCGAGGCAGGGGACGGGCACAGCAAGAGGGAGAAACTGCCTTACCTGAAGGTGGTGCAGGTCGTGTGACTTCTTCACTCCTGTGCTGTCTCTCTTGCCTGCATATTTCATCGCAGACGCAGGAAAGTGGTTCTCTCTTGCTCAGAGACATGCGCCCCTTTCATTTGTCTTCATTTTCCTTGTGGTCAGGTCCTAGTTACATCCTGGGCCACGGCACAAGACGTGGTGATCTTCGGGGTCGTGGTTTTCAAGCTCCTTGGATGGTACCTACAGGGAGGGAGACAGCTTGCGCTGAGCTCGTTTGCACCACACACACTCGTACATGCCACGCGGACACTGAGGTCCTGATCTTTGGCTTCCCTCCCGCCCTCCCTCCCCCGGCCTCATGAACTGATGTTGTGACAAGCCCATATGGTGTAACAGGCCGTCTGGGACCACTGCTCCGGCCAGAGGTAGTTGTTAGTGTGCCTGACCCATGAAAGCAACAGCCACGAACTCAGATACTGGATGCACAGCTTTCCAGTCAATGAATCGTTTGCATCCTGATTTTAAATATTTTACTCAATATTGGGGATAAAATTTTATGACATTTCTAAAAGGTAGAAATCTTCTCGAGAAGGCTATGTCTACTGCACGCGTCCATCCAACAAGTGTTATCTGTTATTGCCAGGTACTACTACAGGATTTTGGATCACAGATTGGAAAAAACCCCAGCAGGGAACCCTCTCCTCTCCAAGCCTGTAGCGTAACAGTGCACACTGGCTTCCTGTGGCCGCCTTAGCTACTTGAGTGACCTAGTGCGGTATCCACAGATTTTGTCTTTGGGTCAGATGACAGGGCACTGCATAGCTTGGCTGTGTCTCTGCGCTCACTGGCTGAAATCAGAGGTGCACAGAAGCAATCAAGGGTGGCATTTCTTTCTGGAGGCTCTGGGGGAGATTATGCTTAATGCTATTCAGGTGATTGGCAGAATTCAGTTCCTTGGAAAGTGAGAAAGGTTTCCGTTCCCCTGACACTGTCCACCTGGGAACCTCCCTCCTGTCTCCTCACCTCATGGACTCCTTCACCCTTCTGTCAGCACGGCATGGTGAGGCCTGTTTATGCCTGAACCTCTCTCCTGCCTCTTTCCCTGTCGCACTTCTGACTAACACTTTCCATGTAAGGGCTTGGTGATAAACTGATTTACCCTGATACTCTAGGATGATCGCCCTGTTTCAAGGTCCGCTGGTTAGTAAATGTAATTACATTGCAAAGTCCCGTCACAGCAGTACCTTGACTAGTCTTTGAATAACCAGTGGACAAAAATCTTGGGGGTACATCTTTAAAATGCTACCTATTCCATAAGGCCAGGCAAAAACTGGAAAGAAATAATGGCAGTATATGCACAGGGCACTGCAGGTGCCATGGGAGACAGGTAAGGGAGTGCTGAGCCAGGCCTGTGCCCACTGGACTGGACTCTCACAGGAGGTGAGCCGCATGGTTATCTCGAGGACAAGTTTTCCAGGTAATGGGATAAGGGATAAACTGGCCTAGGGATAGCGATGATGATGGTGTGGCTGGAGGGGAGCAAGCAAAGGCACGGGATCAATGCTGAGGACTGGACAAGGAATATGAGGCAGATGATGGACTTAAGTTTTTATCTCGCAAGTAGAGTCAGGAGGTTGCCATGAGGTGAGATGGGCAGAATGTTTTGTTACACTTTAATGTCTCCTGATTCTAGATCATTTAGAGAGAAAATTAAATATGGTATAACATCTGGAACTCGACATCGGGAAAGGTAGGTGAAAATATTTTAGAATATTAAAAAAATGCAGACTTTGAAAAGATTTAAAATCTCAAGGGATATTGATATTTGGGGAGGGAAGCACTAAAGGAGACATAAAATCAAAATATCAAGATTTTAGGAAAACATGGGCATGTACTGAAGGTATTTCTCCCCCTCAGATACTGAATCCAAAGTCTTGGCTCCAAAGCTAGGTGTCCAGCCAGTAGCATTCGTAAAAGTAATATTTCAAACCTGGTGTTTTTAAATTTAAGAGCTGCTTATTACATTCAACGGATACTAAAGACACTCGTAGCTCTATTAAATTATTATTAGAGAGTTACTGGAAATTAATGCAAAAGACTTAAATTTATCGTCAGGATTCTATTTCCAAAGGTTGACCTATATTTTTAAAATGAGAAATGTGCAACAGAGGAGAGCTTTGATGTTCTTGTAAGATTTAAAGGCTTCAATAGTTGAGCCAGATATTTATGTGTAGACATTAGCCTGAGTTTTGTGCTTATCATCTTATAATTAGCTGTGAATGTTCACACGTTGTAATGGAGTTGAGCGCAGGCATCGGGCAGCTTCATTAGCAGCTGGGAGGTGTGACTCTGGGCTCCTGTTCCTGCAAAATAAGAGTGAAGACAGTTGTTTCTTACCTGGAATGGGGCTCGCGTTCTGTCTGAGGCTTATTTTTAACATGGAGGAGCTTGATTCTTGTCAGAGAGAACCGTTCCTTGGAGAGAATTCTTTCTTTCTTTGGTTTTCTGGAATTCCTTAATAAAAGACAAACAGCACTTCACAGGCTTGGAGCATAGAAGGGGAAGTGCAAGGAACACGAGCTGCTGTGGCCTCTGCGCCTGTGCTGTGATGGGTGAAATCCCTCCTGTAACTCTCTCTCTCTCTCCCCGCGCCCCACGCCCTCACGGGTCATTCCCTTCTCCATTCGCACCCTCTGTGCAATTAATGTGCCTTAATTAATGATTTTAGATCCGGTTTTATTTCTGGCTTTGGAGCCAAGGGTAAAGGTACAGCTCAGAAAGGAAAAGTAATTTTCCCACAACGCTTTACGGGGGGTGCGGCCTATTCCCAGGTCTCTCTAGGAGGACAGGGCAGCCCATGACTGGCCAGTCCACCCCTGAAGAATGGACAGCGGATGGTGAGTTGTGCCCAATACGAAGGCAGAGTGAGCTTCCCTGGCCAGACCTCATCTGAGGTACCTCACAATTTCAGGACAACCACTTTTAGCACCTAGTAAAAAGAGGCTTCTGCAAAAGGCTTCGTAATATTTACCTCAGAGAAGGGAAGCGGGGCGAGTGATGTGTTTTAAATTATTTAAAAGTATCTTGTGAAATTACAGGTTAGGCTTGTTCTGTGTGACTGCAGGAATGTAAATAAGGCCAAGGAAGACTCTGTCAGCTCTAAATGACACTGAGTGGTTTGCCTTGGGAAATAATAAGTTTTCATTTTTAGGAGTCGTTCATGTGACTTAAATTTAGCATTGACTAGTTTAGACCACAACAAATAACTTATAGGCTCTCTCTCTCTCAGAGTCTCTCTCTCTCAGTCTCTCAGAGTCTCTCTCTCTCTCTGTCTCTCAGTCTCTCTCTCTCAGAGTCTCTCTGAGTCTCTCTCTCTCTCTCTGAGTCTCTCTCTCTCAGAGTCTCTCTCTCTCTCAGAGTCTCTCTCTCTGTCTCAGAGTCTCTCTCTCTCCGATTCTCTCTCTCTCTCTCTGAGTCTCTCTCTCTCTGCGTAAAGTCAGAAGCGCGGGAGGGTGAGAGAATTCACCAGAGCCAGAGCAGGGAGCAGAGCAGGAAGAAGGACCGAAGTACACTGCTGAGGGGAGCAGCGGGCGGCAGGAGAGGTCTGCGCGCCATGTGGGACCCTCCTCCGGTGGCCGGGGAGCAGCCGGGGATCGAACCAGCACCGCAGAGGCTGCGGGCAGCTTTGCAACCCAGCGCTCAACCGCTGCGCCACCAGGGAGGCCCTCATGATGCCTTTTAAAGGCCAGGCTTGAAGACATTGATGTTCTCCTCCAAGCAATGGTGAACCACTGAAGGATCTCGAGGAGGAGAGGGCTGCCTTAGGCTTTGAAAGTGTTTGGTGTTATCGTGGAAATTGCAGGGAACTGAGGAGAGTAAGAGACAATGGGCCCAAACTAAGAGAGGAAAGTGACTTAGTGGAGGGTAAGGAGGGAGAATCAATAGAAGCAGGAGATCAGTCACCTACAAGACGGTGCTGACACTCACAAGTCTCTCGCGGAAGGAATGTGTAGGGAGAGCACACCAAAGAGAATCAGTCGTTCCTGGAGAAGGTGCCTGCTACGGAGCAGGGACTGTGGACAGAGAGCAAAGCTGAGTTCCAGGTAACTGGGCTGGTGGTTGATCATGGGATATGGAATCTACATGGTCTTTGTGTCTCGTTCTGTGATATTTCTAAAACAGTACCGGGAGTTCAGGATCCATTAGATGAGGAGTATTTATTATAATCTTACCTCTCGGTGAGATGGTGTCATTGCAAACACTGCGGAACATACACCTACTTAAAATAAAATGTCCTGTTAGAGACATCGCTGATAAATATGAAGCTCTAGCAGAATTTCTTTCCCGTGGCGAGATTTCAAATGTGTGATCTGTTCATTTTGTAAAGATACCTGCTCTGTGGCTGTCTGATACTGTGGCAGGACTTGGGAAGTCAAGATTTAAAGGTGGTGACTCTTGGCTGTCTGGAAGTTCACAGTCCATCAGATAGTGACTGTCCTGTGCAGAAGTGGTCCGGGCACCGGCGGGTAGCACTGCACGGCCCACAACCCTCCTGAAGCTCAGATAATGGATTTTAATGCCACTCACAGGCAACTTCATCACATACTAAGACGACAAGTTATTTAATAAGTGCAGTCAAAATAGAATGTCGAGATAAACTGAGAATTGTTTTCTACCTGCACATCTGGAATTTTCCTACCACAAGAAAACAGAAATTCAGTAAAATGCTCTTTCAACTAGACATCCAACACTGTATGAATACTTTTTGAATTAGACTTTTAAATCATTTTTAAAATTTGCTACCAGTCATAATATGTATGAGGGAGAGAGAGGGAGGGATGTTGCGTATGGGGCTAAGTAATAGTTCCAATTAAATTGAAAATAAGATTGCCCCCAGCAAATAGGAATATTGCAACCTCATAACATTACACACATATATAAATGCATAAATGCATGAAGCTATAGACCGCTTTAAAAATCTTTAATGTAGATAACTCACAGCAAACCAGCCATTCAATGGCATGTGATGTAAGATAGAAATCTCCAACTGCCTAATTAAAACAGAAACAGAACATGTTTATAGTCTATTTTAAGCCAGGGAATGTCATTTAGTATAATGCTTAATATTGAATTTATTAAAAGTAAGAGTTATTTGGCTGTTGAATGTACCTGTAGCTCCGGTGGCTCAGCCATACTGGGCTTTGCTCCCACAAGCAGCGAGGTTGGCGTCTTGGCGTCCGTGTCTCACGGCAGAGCTGGGCAGCATTGGCAACGGGCTCTGCTGTGGTAGAGGTTTGCTTGCTCTTGGCTGCTCTACCTTTTATTGCTTATTCTCTTCTGGCTGCAAACATACTTTACCTTCTTTTCTACTTTCTCCCCAATCCTGTTAAAAGAAAACTAGGAGTGAGCGAGAAAGACAGGCCAGGTAATACCGAGAAGTATAAATTCATTTTCAAAAGATGTTTGCGAATGATCTAATGTAATCTCTGCTTTGCAACTTAAAAATCCCCTTATCTTGCAAGGATTACCTGACGATCACTACCTGAGGAACTGTGGCGCTGATCTGGTTGGCCTCTTTCTAGAATTCATATATGGAAATGCTTTTATTCTATCTGGAATGAGATAAAATTGGCTATTCTCAACAGACACCTGGGGAGAAAGAAGAATGTAAACTGCTGCCATGGTTGGAAATCTCCACCACAGCTTCAGAGATAGCATGATCACTTTGAGGATTAGTGAAGGAAAGTGTCTGGCCAGATAGTCATCTATCGTTGAAGATTAAATTTCACAAATGAACTCACTGGGAGTGCTCTGTAATGTAACACAGATGAGCAGTATCACCCCCCATGTAACTTCCAAGATTTCTTAGAAGGGGAAGTTCAAGGAACACCAGCTGATGTGGGAATTTCCTTATGAAATTCAAGATAAAAGCCGGTAGTGGTATCTTGATAAATTCACGTTTCACCTGTGTCTTAGTTTACGGGTGCCTCTTCCGTGAAACTATAACCTCATCCCTCTGTGATACCAAAAGTGAAGAGCAGTATTCATGCAATAGAAGGGTTCATCTCGGGGGGCCAAGAAATCTAGGGTAGAATTCTTTCCGGGAGCAGAGTGACGTTTCCTACCAGTCAAGTGTTTTTGGTAACACAGCAGCCTCTCGCCAGGGGTCAGCCTTCCTGGGGTTCCTGAATTACAGAAAGATGGCTACACTGCCAGCATGGATCAGGTAACATTTAAATCTCCATTTCGCTCAGCTGGGACACTCGTGGGTGCTGCATAGTGATGTTAAATCTCCCCAACTTGTCGAGGTTGTACAGGCCCTATAGCCTTCAGATTAGCCTCCCTTTTTCTTACTGTGGTTCTGTCATCCTCGCCCCCACAAATGTTCACTAAATCCAGGCCCACATGGCTGCTTACATGCTATGCTTTTAAAGCACTCCCGGCGAGGTTGGCTAAGAGGAGCGTAAGGGAATCAGTGGCTACGAACGGCACCTGCTCTTTCTTCACCATGTACAACTGCACACATTTTTCTGCTTTGGGACAGGCACACCTGCTTCTCCAGAGAAGCGCCTTTTCCCTCTTTATCTGGTACAATTAGATGTCCCACAAAACAATCATGAATCCAGCCCAATCCCTGTGCAAAATACAGATGCGAAATCTCTCTACAGGTTTTATGAGAAGGTTGATCCCACTGAGAGTTTCTGGCAAACTCCGCTCGGTATTGCTGGGTTATTAGAGGCCTTGTCTGTCCACAGAGCAGCGAACTGTATGTTAGAAAGTCAGACAGTTGAGGGCGGGGTCTTACCTGGCGTGACGGGTTGTCTGATGCTCAGTGTGACTGGGCCGCAATCCTACATATTTGGTCAAACATTAGTCTAGACATTACTATGAGAGCCTATTTTTAATTTTTTTAAGTTTTTAGTTCTCTAAGAATATTGATATAACGTTTGGTTTACACTGTGGAAGTACAGATGATGTTGGGATGTAACAGTGCTTCAATTAGAAGGAAAAAGTGATTTAAAAAATAAAATTTTAAGAATTTAAAGGTAAGCCCTCACCATACCAAAAAAATCAACTCAAAGTGGACAAAAGATTTAGATATAAGAGCTCAAAGCATAAAACACCTGGAAGACAAAAAGGGCCAACACTGCACTGCAGAAGCTTCAGGGATGTCTTTGCAGCCTCCGGGGCTGTCCCCCTAGTGCTCCCCCCACCCACGCACCCAGAGCCCATAGCACTCCCGCCCCACCCCTGAGTGCCTCTGCATGTCAGTCACTCTGCTTTCAAGGGCTAGTTTGGCTTCATCTGATCCTTTATCTGGAGTCTCCATATTCTAAACATAAGTAACACCATGCAGTATATTTATTGTTTTCCTTCTGACTTACTTTGCTACCAGAAGCCCTTCCAGCTCCACCAATGCTGCCACCAGTGGCGTTTGATCGCCCTTGATCCGAGGAATGATCTGTCTGTGGAGATACATCTTCTCCAGTCACTGGTCTGTTTCGGGCCTTTAGGTAGTCTCCATCGTTTGGCGCTTGTAAATAATGCTGCAGCGACCAAGGGAACACAAGTTTCCTTTGAATTAGTATAGTTTTGTTCTTTGGGCAGAGACCCAGGGGAAATGCTGGGTGCATCTGGCTTCAGTCTTTTGCGCGGTCCCCGTACAGCTTTGCATCGGGGCTGGGCCACTTCACCTCCCCGCCGGTGTTGTGAAGGGCTCCGTTCCTCAACAGCCTCGCTAGCTCTTGTTCTTGGTCATTTTGAGAGGGGCCATTCCAGGCCTGAGGTGGGATCTCATTGTGGTTTTGATTTGTATCGCCTGACTGTAAATGAGGAGGAGCATTTCTTCCTGTGCCTGTTGGTCATCTGTAGGGGTTCCCTTGAGAACTGCCTATTTGATGCTTTCGCCCAGTTTGGATTTTGTTGTGTGAGAGCCTTATATGTCCCTGGTATCAGTCGCTTGTCAGATGTATGGCGTGCAGATCATTTTTGCCATTCAGTTGCGTGTCCTTTTGTCTTAGTTATGGTTTCTCTTGCTGTGCGAGCAAGGACTATCTGAAGACATCACTCAAGCTCATGTTGTAGAGTGTTTGCCTGTGTTTTCTTCTATGTATTTTATGGTCTGAGGTCTTAGAGCCAAGTCTTTCATCCATTTTGAGTTGATTTTTGTGTATGATGAGGGCTTATTTTTAAACTGGTGCAGTGTTACATCATGATGTTGTATAAATTTCAGCTATATTTTTGCACAAAATTTGCATTTAAATCTCTCGACTTGGAGTAAAGCAAATTGCTTCATTATTGTGGGTGGACTTTGTCCAATAAGTTGAAGGACTGGATAGAATAAAAGGTTGAACTCCTGTCAATTGGTTCAGAAAATCTTAATACATTTGGATATTTTAATATTTTTGAATGTTTTCAAAAATGAATAAAAGATCAAGATAGCAACTATAACATTGAGGGTAACTCTAGTATTTCTTTTGTTGAGTGACATTTGCTGGGTAAAATGCAATGTGATTTAAACAAAATAGCTCTAATTACTTTAACTGGCATTATCTTTAGTGCAGTGAGAAAAATAGGTTAAATCTTTATAGTTAGCAAGTGGCAGAGGTCAATCATAGATGTGTCTGTTTCCAAAGTTTAGGTTATTTTGAATTAAATATATTGTATCCTAAGAAGTCTAAAACTCTAGGTGCTATGAAACCACTGCAGTATAAATATATCTCTCATGATATTTTTTCAGAAAATTCGGACTAATACAGACATGGCCATTGTGTGATATAATGTCATGGCTACACGTTGCGATTCTTAGAAGTGTTGTGGATGTTCAAAATAGTGTGTGTGTATATGTGTATGTGTAATTTTCCATACATAATTACTAGTGTCAAAGAAGTAGATCTACTGGTAGAAGGGAGGACATTTCTACAATTAGAAGCCAGAAAAAGGGTGGGAATAGTTTTCATAAGGCATGTGGGAACTGGCAGCTTTCGTGGGGGAGGCAGGCCCACCAGGATTCTTCCAGGGAAGTGCTTTTTGTACTGAGATGAAAACAAGGAAAAATGCTTCCTATTTATCTGATGAAGCAAGTCATCTTTTCTCTAGAACTTTCAATAGAGAATGTTATCGCCTAGTGGAAGGTCTGTATAAAATTTACCTATCACTGTATGTAACTCAGTGACTTCCCCACAAAATGATCCTTTCTGACTTGGAATTTCTGTGAGTTCTGGAATTTTTCCATTCTGTCTAGAGTGATTTTGGAAAGGGCAACC